GCCTCACTTGGACTCCACGGCCCTGGGCTCTGGGAGGGTGCAGAGAAACCATTCTGTTATGGCTGATTTGTGTCCCCCCCAGTCCACACGTGGAAGCTCTGACCCCCAGGATCTGGGAAATGGGGTCTTCACAGAGGTGATTAAGTCGAAATGAGGTCATTGGGGTGTGCCCTACTCCAATCTGACTGTGTGCTTGAAAGAAGAGATCAGGACCCAGACACAGAGGGAGGAGGAGAGAGGCCTCGGGAGGAGCCAACCGGCTGCCACCTTGTCCTCGGACCTCCAGCCTCCAGAGCCATGGGAGAAGCCTGTGTGCAGCACTTTGTCCCCGAGCGAGCGCGGGACACGGACCCATCCTGAGGGCCCTGGGCTGCTCCCTGTGGAGATGCCTGATGCTTGGAACGAAAAGCTTGCAAACAGGCAGGAGGAGGGCAGACAAAAGAAGAGTGTCCTGCGGGTCCTGCAGGTGTTGGGGGCGGGCGGAGCCGCAGGGCAGCCGCAGTTTCCACCGGCTTGGACGTGGGGGCCTGTCCCCCAGGCCGCCTCTTCACGCGGGGCAGGAGGAAATAGGAAGACACGCTCCCAGCATGAGTGCTGGCTGAAGGCTCTCCAAGCCAGAGGAGGAGGGAGGACGCAAACCCCTCACAGGGTTGCAGGATGGCAGTTAATGCTAATGTGTTAAATAATTTAATTGGACAGGCTGTATTTCATGCCGCACGCCGCTGGCATTTCTAGTGGGCATCCCCGTTGGTCTGTCCTTGGCACGGATGCTGGCCTGGCCCTTTCCTAAAGCGGCTCCTGGGTCCTCCGCCCACCTGAGCAAAGGAGGCATTGCTTCTGTGAGGGGTGGGAAGTGGGCATCAGTCAAATTCTCTCTGAACAACCATCATGAGCAAAGAGTGGCTGGGGACCCTCCAAACGTAGCTGCTGACCAGTACGGGGCGTCCCGCCAAAGGGCCCTCCTGCCGTCTCCCCAAGAGAACAAGCCCCTCCCAGGCCCAGCTCAAACACATCTGGGCACCCCAGTGCCCACCTGGACGGGCTCATCCCTCTCCTCCCTCCCAAGGGAATCCTAACCAACCACCCCAAACCCAGGCTACTTTCTGTCCACTGTTGTACCCTCCCCGGTGGCCTCTGCGTTTGGGCACTTGCAGGGGCTCAGCTGGGCCATTCAGTCGGGGGTCCCTCAGGCAGTTGGCCTGAGGGCCTCCCCCGTGTCGCCCTCAAGGCCTGACTGGACTTCCCACAGCATGGCGGGGGGTCCAAAGACCCAGTGTCCAAGGGGAGCCTTTCCTGGCCTAATCCAGAAACCACCTTCTGGTCTTAGAGCCCACCTAGATTCACGGTGCTCAAGGGAAAGAATTTGAGGGCCTGCATTTGAAATAGCAGATGGGCTTCTCGGGGCAGAGCGGTCTCCCTGCCCTGTGCCCACTTCCCCCTGCGGTGGGTGCAAGGCTGCCGGATCGTTGGGAAGGAAGCAGCCCACAGGCTTTCTGCCACAGGTGTCCCAGTTCCTCTTGATGCTGGGTATTTCTTCCCCGCCGAACGGGGGGGCGCAGAGCGCTCTGCACATGGGCCGGGCCCCCTGTGCCCGGCTTCCACGGTGCCCTCCACCAAGGACCCCCCGGGCCAGGCCCCAGGCGGGGTGCACGAAGGAGCACTGTTCATGAGCGCTGCCTCCGAGCCCCTGTCTAGTGGGGACCCCCACCTCACCAGGGCTGTGTGTGTCTGCATGTACATGTGTGTGCATTGATGAGCGTGTGTGCACGCGCAGGTCTGCTGGATGATGGGGTGGGGGTGATCAGGCAGAGACGGAGGCCAGGCCAAGGTCTCGAGGTGGACAGCACAGGCGGGGCCAAGAGCAGGTGCATCTGAGCAACCGCAGGCGCCAGGCAGGAAGGCTGGGAGGACACGCGGGGCCCGGAGTCCCAGCAGGAGCCTCTCCCGCTGCCCCCAGCCCCTGTCTCTGTGACCTCGGCAAGAGTCATTCAGGAGGTGGTCAGGGTGACGCGCACAGGACACTGGGGACAGAGGCAGAGGCAGAGCAGGACAGGGGTGTGGTCCCGAGCTGGCTGGTTGCATCTTTGCGGGCAGGAGGCTTGTGGCAGGAGGGGACCCTGAGGAGTCTGCAGGTGACAGGTGTGGTGGGCTCAGGATCTGCCTGCTGGGCCCCGGCAGGTGCAAGGAAACACCCCACCTGGCTCACAGGGTGTCAGGAGCAGGCCAAGCGTCCTCCCGTGCCAGGCACAGTTGTGGGTGAGTGTCGGCCCTGGCCTTCCGGCCAGCTACTCGGCCAGGCGGAGATGCAGAGCCTGGGGCAGGTGCAGGGTCAGCACCAGCCCCGGGGCGTCTCCCTCCAGCTTCTAGCCCCTACTTGAAGGACTCGGGGGGAGGGCAGCGAGGCTGCTTGGTCAGGGCCAGCAGCTCTGGCCAGGGTCCCCCCACTGGCCTCGGACCTCACATGGCCCCATATGGCTACCACCTCGGGCTCAGGAAGGGTGCCAGCTAGACTCCAAGGAGGATCAGCCTGGGGCCACTGACCCAGGAGGGGCTGGAAGGTGAAGGGGTCCAACACAGGGGGACACGGCTCCCCTGCCCCCTGCACCAGCCTCCTCAACAGCTTCTTTGAAAGTTGGGAGTGTCTTTTGTATTCCAAAGGCCAAAGGGCCACGCTTGCCTTTAATTAAAATGCACGTCCTTTAATTAAAGGCCCTATAACACATGAAGGGCATCCACTGAAATAGGACGTGTGACACAGTCATTTCCCTGCTGTTAATTACTAATTAATGAAGCTATTTCAATTAATAGCTTCCCCACCTCACTCCCCCTTTGACAGGCCCCGCTGTGCTGGGGCGCGTCCTAGAATCAGACTCCAGCTCCCGCACCAGCAGCCGTGCTGAATATTCATGCCACGACCTCAGTGCCTTTCAATTAAACATAATAAAATAAATCCCAGTCAAAGTGCATCCCAACATGGAGCTCATCTCTCCTTCCTCGGGCACCGGAAGAGGGTGACCGGATGGCCCACTGCAGATGGTCGGGACAGAGCATGGCCTGGGGAGGGACGACCTGCTGGGGGGGATGGTGTCCAGGTGTCCCCAGGGGGCAAGTGGGGACCCCCAGGGCACTGTAGTCCTACAACTGAAGGACAAAGCCAAAAAACGGGAGGGTCAAGGACGGTGGCCCAGAGAGGTGGGGGGCCGTCCACATGTTAATTACGAATCTTAAGTGGCCATTAAAGATCCTGCTTTAAAGAGACAGGGAGGGGCGCCTGGGTGGCTCAGTCGTTAAGCGGCTGCCTTCGGCTCAGGTCAGGATCCCAGGGTCCTGGGATCGAGTCCCATATCGGGCTCCCTGCTCTGCGGGAAGCCTGCCTCTCCCTCTCCCACTCCCCCTGCTTGTGTTCCCTCTCTCGCTGTGTCTCTCTCTAGATAAATAAATAAAATCTAAAAAAATAAATAAATAAAATAAATAAAGAGACAGGGAGGGGCGCTGAGCGCCTGACTCTTGATTGTGGCTAGGGTCATGATCTCAGGGTCGTGAGATCCAGCCGGGCATCGGGCTCACTCTGAGCCTGGAGCCTGCTTGGGGTTCTCCCTCTCCCTCTGCCCCTCCCCCCACGCCCCCTCCAGCTCGCACTCTCTCTCTCTCTCCCCTTCTCTAAAAAAAGAAAGAAAGAAGGGAAAAGTGTCCCTTATGGTGACCAGGAGGGGTCGGTCCTGCATGGTCCTGCACGTGCATGGGAGATGAAGGGCGGGCACCGCGGGCGGCAGCCTGGACCCGCCCAGGAGGGACATCAGGTGGAGGCCATTGTTCCCAGAGTCGAAACTCCCACAGTCCCTGCTGCCTACTTGCTCAGGTGGGAGGACGACTCCCCTCGAGGAGCCTGTGCCCCTGAGGACCCAGGGTCCCCAGCCCTGGGGAAGGGGTGGAGGGGGCGAGCGCTGGAGCTGCATGCTGTGGCCAGTTAACGGTGGGGGCGGAAATCCCGTGTGCGGGAGCGCCCCAGCTCCTTCCCGGCCCCACTGCGGTGGCCCGCCGCCCGCCCGCCCTCGCCGCACGGCCCCCCGCACCTGGAACCTCCTTTCAACAGTTCCCGCCAACGGAGCCGAGAGCCAGGAGCACCGCCTGATGCGGGCACTGAGCAGCCAGGGCCGGAGGGTACCTGCGCGCGTTAGTGGGGGCTGGGGACCACTGCTCGGACCGGCGGGCTGGACGCGGCCCTGTCAAACGGCGCCCTCTGTTGGCTAGTTGTGGGCGGCAGCTGCCTAGGCCTCCCGAGGGGCCTCCAGGGGCCGGCTGCCCAGGCGCATGCCCGCTCCCGCACCGCGGTGGCCCGAGCTCCTCCTCTGGGCAGTGGGCGGCGAGCTGGGTTTAGCGTGTGCCGAAGGAGGTGGGCACAGCTCTACGCCCTTGGCCCTGCTGCTTCTGCCCCTGTCGCCCGGCCCGACCCTGGCCCAGGGCCCCGTCAGCCAGTAGGACCCGCCAGAGCTGTTGCCAGGGCGGGGATGTGGCCGAGCCCGCGGGCAGCAACCACACCGCCCGGGGCTGCCCTCCCACCCGGCCCGAACACCCTCTTTGCTACCAGCACCCTCCCTGCCGGCAACCACGTGCCCCAGACTCTGTGGAGCCCTGACCGAGGCCCAACATTGGCCTTGGGAAGGGGTAGGGAGAGCACCCCCAACTCCAGGAGGCATTCCAGACCAGGAACAGCAGTGCTGGGAGGAGGCCGGGCCCCTCTGCTCGGCACCAGGCCCGTGTCCCCCAAATCCCACGTGCCAGCCTCCTTCCTCCGACTTTGAGGAAGTGACCGAAGCGGGACTCAGTGTGGTGTCCAGGAGGCCTGGGGCCTTGGCTCCCCTTCTGAGCAGACCCACCATCGCCTCCTGGGTCCCACATTCCCGCAGGGGCTCAAGGTCTGAGACCCTGGAAGACTGAGGAACTGCAGAAAGGGCCACCTCCTCGCTTGGGCTCTCAAAGACTTTACGGCTCGCTGTGGGTTAGAGACACCCATGTTCTCAGCAGTTTTATTCCCAGAAGCCGAGACGTGGAAACAAACCAAGTGTCCATCCACAGAGGAACGGATGCACAAAATGAGGCCCATCCACCCAGTGGAGTATGGCTCAGCCTGAAAAAGGAGGGAAATTCTGACACCTGCTACCACGTGGAGGACATTACGCTCCGTGAAACAGGCCAGTCACTGAGGGACATACTGCGTGAGGGACCCAGAGCCGTCACATCCACAGGAACAGAACGTGGACAGTGGGGGCCGGCGGCTGTGGGCTGGGAGGGGGAATGCTGTTTAATGGGAACAGAGTTTCAGTTTGGGAAGGTGGAAGATCCCAGAAACGGCTTGGCACGTGGGAAGAGCTCAGCTCCCGTGTCCAAGGGCTTGAACGTGCTTGGTGCTGCAGGACGTCCACCGCGGGGATTCTCAGGGGCTGGGTTCCTCCGCCACAGGGGTCGCTCAGGAAAACCTCCAGCCGAGGAACACGAGAACGCCAGGGCCTTTGTGGTAAAGTGACATTCCCAGCGCACCTCCATAAACAATTGGGCCACAGCCAGGAGGCCAGACTCGAGTTCGGTAATCAAGAATCTTTCAGATTCTTTCTGATCCAAAGGGGGCCGCGGAGGGAGAAACAGAGAAAGCTGCCCGCCGTCCTTGTGGAGTGCACCCGGGCCCTGCGGCCCGGTTCTGTGCGTGCCCGCTGCGGGGGGCAGCCCACTGCAAGGCCGGCGGCTGGGTCCCGGTGGGAGAGGGGCCCCACCTGCCCCACCCCCGCTCCCCCGCTTGGTCGCCTCCACCTGTCTACAACCTCTGCCCGCTTCCTCGGCTTCCCCGCAGTGAGCCCAACAAATCTTTGCTGCATGTTATTCTTTTAAAAAAGGAAAGAGTAACAGTCTTCCTTTTCCAGTTTAATAGCCATCGTTTAAATAAGTCTGGGGTGATTTTTCCACATTCTTAGATTCTTTTTTCTACGTATACATCTTGCAGGATCTGTTATTAATTCCCGAGACGACCAGATCCTCTGTTAGGAGAGAAGGACGATGCAGGAGGGCTCCCTGGTCCTGCGGAGTGCCCTGGGCAGGAGAGGGACCCACAGTCCCCTTACTGCTGGCGTCAGTGGGCCCAAGGGAGGCAGAACACTTCACGAGTGCCAAGGGACCCACGGGGGATGCCGGGGGGGTCCCCAAAGATGGGCAAGGGCGTCTAGCCCACGGCCCACCCACTGAACTTGGAGAAGCTGAAATGCCCCTAGCAGCCCCTAACAGGCTTCATGAGAGCTGCAGGTCCCACCCAGGGCAGCTCCCCTGGGGACACGTGGTGATGCCAGGAGCCAGTGTTGGTTGTCATGACTGGGGGGTCACCTAGTAGATGGGGGCCCCGGATGCAGGCCCAGCGCACAGGACAGCCCCCCTCACCCCACGAAGAATGATCTGGCCCCATGTGCCGAGAAGCAAAGCAGAGCAGGTCTGGGGGGAAGAGTCCAGCCCCTGCAGGGACGGGCAAAGCTCCCACCGTGGGGACCGCAGGGGCACGTGGATCTACATGGAACAGACTGTGTAAAGACACAGCCACTGCTAGAAACACTAACTCCACTCACCCCTGACAGTCCACGCACCCTGAGGGGAGGGCACGATCACCTCGCTGGAGAAACTGAGGCCCAGCCAGGGCAGCCCGGCTTGGCTAGGTCTCGCTTTCCCCCTGCTTACACATGTGGGGTCAGGAGTGGGAGGCTCTCAAACAGAGCCCGTCACCCCAAGGCAGACAGCACTGAAGGAACGGTCCGGCTGGGGCAGCTAGAGGTCCTCGCGGGTGGGGCTCAGGTCCACTCGCTGGGCCTCTCCCAACAGCAGGAAGGTGCACAGCCCCAGGCTGCTGACGGCAGCCACCAGGTTGAACATGGACGTCCAGGAGCCCGTGGTCTCGATGAGGTAGCCCCCCAGGCACACGCCCACGACACCTGCAGCAGACGGGGGTAGACAGGCCGAGTGCTCCAGGGCCGTCCCGAGGGCAGTGCCGAGGAGCGCAGCTGGTGGGGGGGTTCCAGGACAGGAGGCCAGGGGCGGCCTGAGGGACAGAAGCTGAACTCGGGTCCAAGCCGCCAGGCCAAGGGAGGGCCGGCGTCAGAGGGTCTCAGAAGGCCAGAGACCTCACAGGCTGCCCAGGAAAATGACCCTCACAGGTCCCTCTGCACCCCCCAGGGGGAATAAGCCCCATCATTGCCATCCAGGCACTCAACCCCGGGAACCCTGGGCCTCGAGGATTTGACTCACATCGGTGGGCCAAGTGGGGGCTGGGATACGCACCATCAGAAAAGGGAACACCATGGAAAGTGGCTGGGTTCTTGCCCTGGACCAGCTCCGTGAGCTGCACTCTCCCCTCCCCACTGGTCTGGCACTGTGGGACCCTCGATGGTGCCATGCCCACCCTGCAGGGCTGGGGCCGCCAGGAGGCACCCCAGCCCAGCCCACCTCTCACCTGCCAAGGCCCCAGCTGTGTTTGCCACACCTGCGAACAGGACAGAGGAAGAGAACAAGGACGGGTCACAGGAGGCCCCCCTATCCGGGGGCAGCCCTGGGGGCCCAGGGAGGGGGCGAGGCTGGGTGAGCCATGCATGGGTGGGGAACGCAACTTCCTATTCAAACAGGGACCAGTGGTTCTCACCAAACAGAAAGCCAGCACAGGATGGGGCCAGGTCCTGGATGTTGACCGAAATGCCACTGTGGGAAAGAGGAAAGGGGTGACCACGGGGCAGCTGCCACCCCCCTAAGCCCAGGGCTGGTCCTCTGAGCACCTGGAGCCTAGAAACTGCCAAGTGGGTACTCAGAACCCAACCCAGCCAAGGCCTGCCCACCACGCTGGGGCACGAGACCACACCAGGGGCACAGCCCCACTCGGGCCATCGTGCCCACCCTGGCTGTCCCATCCCCACCACGACACAGTGCAGGAATCCACTACCAGGATGAAACAAACAACAGCGGGCAGCATGGGGCAGCTCTGGTGGGAGGGGCACCCGGCCCTTACCTGTGGTTGAAGGTCTGCAGGCCAATGGACGCTGATGCAAATACCACGGACTTACAGAAGCTTGAGGTGTGACCCAAACACAGGGCAAAGACGCTGGACAGCCCGAGGCCCATCACCTGCGGGAGAGAGGGTGGGTGGCAGGGCATGGGCTGTGGTGGACACCTGGGGTGCCCTGAACAAGGTCCGGGCGGAAAGCCCCTCCCAGCCTGCCCTGGGGATGCGTGACACGAGGCTCCTGATAAGCCAGCCCCACTGGTCGGACTGAGAGGGAAATGTGAGTGACCAGGCCCAGGCATGTGTGCCAGGGCTCAGGGACACAGAGAATCCAAAACGGAGCTGGGAGAAGCGCCTCAAGTCAGCCAAGCCAGCCTCCGGCACTGACCCAGGGCACCCTCCAAATGCTTTCTGGGTTGGGTGACTGGTGACACCCCTTGGGTCCCAGGAACCAAACAGGGGTGTCCAGAGAGACCCATCCCACCCTCTCCCTACCTGCATGAACTTCCGCACAGCGATGGTCCTGTAACCTGAGCAGAGGAAGACGGGGAGATGGTCCCATTGGCCCATTTGTGCTGAGCCCCTGAGGGCCCCTGGTGGGGTCCCAGCCGGCACGGCGGCAGAGAGGGAGCAGGGAAGGAAGGGAAGGGGCGCTCGGCTCAAGGTGGGTGTCCCGTGTCGTGCAGGAGGCGTGTGTACACGTGTGTGAGCGCGTGTGCAAGCACGTGTACCGTGCACTGGGCGTGCACCTAGAGGATCCTCTAGGACACAGTCAAGCAGACACACAGAAGGAAGGCCGCTGGGATGGTTACAAACGTGCTTTCTTCACGTTTCTCCAAATCCTCTCTTTCTCCCACCATGAGTGGGTAGCAGTTTTGTAATTAGGAAAGGACTAACATCTAAGCATGCGGGTCTGTGAGCTCCTCGTCCTCGGGGGTGTTCCCTGGGGCCCCGGGCCCACATACACAGCCCACCCGGACCTACGACCTCTGACCCCACCAAATGGCCTTTCGTCCTCTGCAGAGGGTCGGAGCTGCATCCAGGCCCCGAGGAGGAGCTCCACGGTCACAGGACTCGGACCCTCTCACGGCACCCCAAACCCCTCAGGGAAACTGAGGCTGGGGGAGGCCAGCTCTGAAGGGATGGGGTCCCACACTGATGGGAGGTCCTCGGGGGACCAGGCCCCACATCCCTGTAGAACCCCCCAGGAGGGGTGCTTCCCACCCCCAAGTGTGACAAAGCCGGGCTGGTTCCCAGCAGCCCCTTCCCCAGGGCTCACCCTGATTGATAAGATGGTCAGAGAGAAACCCGCTGAACAGACTGGCGGGAATCGCCACCAGCCAGGGCACCACGTTGAAGACCCAACCCTGCAGGGAGGAGGGAGGCCTCAGAGGGGACAGTCTGCATAGGCCAGGTGGCTGCCCACGGCCACCGATGCCCAGGAAGGCTCTCCCCGCCCACAGGCTGGGCTCTCGGGCTCGGGGGCCTCCCTGGCCCTGACTGTCCCCCACCCTGGCTGAGCTCCAGGTCCACCAGCGCTGTCTCCCTGCAGATCGCATCTCCCTTGTGGCTCCCCACACCGTGACCGGGCTGAGCTGGGGGTGCAGGCCCACCCTGGGGATGTGCCGCTTAGGGGGTCCTGGTCACCAGAGGTGGCCAGATGGCCGGGCTGGTGTGAGCCAAGCTGACCAGCAGGGGACACCCCTGCCTGCCCATGTCACGACACCCCCCCCGGCCCATCCTCAGAAATGACCATCCACAGACTGGCCGCTGAGCCATAGGGGCGGCTGCATGCGGTCCATCCTGGGAGCGAATGCTGCGGGGGCGGCAGGAAGCCGCCCTGTCCTTCACCAGCACGTGCCAGCCAGGGGTGCCAGCCGTGAGCTTGGGTGGGGCCATCGCAGGGTCACGAGCCCGCGGCCAGAACTGACAGAGTCCAGGCGGAACCAAGGGCCCCCGTGCATGCCAGGCACTGGCTCTGTGGCCCTCCCTCACCCCGTGAGCACCAGGGCGGCCCACCCACCTTGGAGCTGGGGAATGTCTCCTCAAAGAAGGTGGGCAGCCAGGAGAGGAGGATGAAGAAGGAGCACGCAGAGGACAGCTGGGAGAAGATGGCTGCCCTGCGGGACGGGCGCCAGGCTCAGGGTCCACACGCCCCGGCCCCACACATGGCCCCCCCCGAGCACGCCCCCACCCCGGGGCGGAGGGCGTGGAGCTCAGGAGCCAGGATGGGGTGGGGGGACCCACGCCCGTGCAGGCTCTGGGGGAGCCGCGCGGGGAACACCCGAGACCCGCCAGGCTCCCCCCGTCCCGCGGCACCCCCCACACACTGTGGCCCCGAGACACCGGCTCACCAGACGGAAGGCTTTCGGAAGAGCTGCCTCCAGGGAACTTTGGTGTGCCTGGGCACTGGCGCGCCTTGAGCCAAGACACCCAAGGCCAGGATGAGCTCTGAGGGGAGCAAGGTGTCCCACGTGAAAGCTACTCAGAATCGGATGACAGCTTCACTCACAGCCGGCCGGCGCCCCGACAGCCCTGTGGCCCTGCCTGGCTGAGTGTGGGTCCCGCCACGCCATCCTCCCAGCGAGCATCTTGGGTTGTCGGCATTTACCGTTGAGGGTCAACGCTCGTGTTGAGAAACAACGTTTCTCAGCCCTTCCCCTGCCTCCGGAGCCCCCAGGCCCTGCTTCCTGCAGTCCTCAGACTAGCTGCTCCTCCAGGGAGCCTGTGCCTGGAGGACAGCCATCCCCGTGTGCCTGCGCCTGCCCGGGCACGGCTCTGAGGCCGGAACCTGGCCAGAGCTGGCCCGAGAGCGGGCTTTCCTCAGGCTGCAGACGGGGCAAAGCCGCAGCCCGGCGTCCTGCGTTCAGCGGATGATGAGCGGCTACTGGAGCGGACGGGCGCCAGGCCCACGCCCCTCCCCGGGCAGCTGCGTTTGCCGGCAGTCACCCACCTGGCCACGGTTACCTTTTTCACGCAGCAGGTACCTGTCCACGTAACACACCCACAGCAGGGTGAGCCCACCGGAGAAGTAGAAGACACTCGGCCAGCCGCACCAGTCCAGGAGCAGGGAGCCCACGGCCCCCGTCACCAGCGTCCTGGAGGACAGACGGCAGCGTGGCCGTGACCCCAGGCTTCACTCAGGCAAGGCGACCCTCTGAGAACCCCAACCCCGCCGCGGGAGCGCGTCGCCAGAGAAGCAGGCTCAGAAGTCCCAGTCTGAACATATTTGGTGAAGCGTTTCAAGCTTTGGGGGAGACTTCTGGATGCCTCAGACCCGGGGGATGTGGGCACAGCCACGTGGCTGTGACGTGGCATGGGGGCCCTGCCTTGCTCTAATTTCTTGCTTCCAGGCCTTCAAGTTGGCCTCCCATTGTGGTGTGGCTCCTTCTAAACTAAAAAAGGCTGCGAAGAAGAAGGGGTGGTGTTGGGAACTCAAATAAAGCCTCCGTGCTGTCCAGCTTCACGGGGCAGACAGGCTGAAATTCTGATTTCTTTTTTTTTTTTAATTTGAAATTCTCAGATTTCTAAATGCAGAAGCAACAGAGCCCAGCACAACGCCCGGACACCCGGCGGCTCCCAGGATCCCAGACACCCCTGTGGGGCCTCCCCTCCCACACGCCCGGCCATCCGCGGACCTCCAGCCAGGACGGTTAAAGGGGAAGACATAGGAAGGAGAACAGGGCCAGCAGGCCTGGGGGATGCCTTCCCCTCACAGCCTCCGTGGGCAGAGTCTCTCCCTGTGCATCTCAGCGCAAGACCCGGGCCCAGGGTGCCCGGCTGAGGCGGGATTTCAGGAAAACAGCACGTCCTTCTTTGTGCAAGTTTGCCCCATGCAGTTTATCCAGAATTCCCGTTCCACTGGGCGCCCTGGGTTTTTATTTGGGCTGCTACTGGGCCATCCACGGGCACCCCCGACCCTCTGATTTCTTGCCTACATCCTGGGGGCAGTGACGTCAGGGGCCTGAGCCCAGGGGCGGCGAGGCCCCATCTGCACAGCAACATGGCCCTTCTCCCCGAGCGAGGCCTCCATGCGGGAGCACGGGAATCACGTCTGGACCGCGCCCACTGCCCCGCTCCCCAGTGGACGGCACCCCTCTGGCTCCCCAGCACAGATGAAAGGGCCTCGGGGGAGTGGCCGCTGCCCCAGCCCACACGCCTCAAAGCCACACCATCTGCCCAGGTGCCGGGGACAGGACATGCACAGGGAGGCACTTTGCACAGGGATGGCGGGTCTCCCGCAGCACGGAACCAGCCGCCCGCATCACCCTGAGCCACAAACACGCCCACATGGCCTGTCCCTGCCCGGACCCCCTGGGCACACCCTCTGTCCCCCAGGCTCCCTGGGCCGGGACTTACCCGAACTGGGAGCCAGCCCCCACGGCACTGTAGGTGAAGGCTCGCTCGCTCTCTCGTACCTTCTGGGACAGCAGGCTGGTCAGCGCCGGGAAGTACACACCTGAAACAAGCAGAGAGCTGTGTCCCCCGACAGTCAGCCGGGGCCAGCGAGGGTGGCCAGACAGGGCTGGGAGCCAGGCTGGGAAGCTCCCCGGGACCCATCCGGGACGACTCAAGTTTGGGGTCCTTCTTGCTCACCTCACCCCCAAGGGACCAGCAGGACTCAGCTAAAGACTCTCAGCGTGGGGGACAGCTGCGCTCACGGTCGGGCCGCCAGCGCAGCCATGGGAATGACCCTGACACCGGCCTCGGGGCCACACCAGCCCCAGCGTCCTGGCGCTCACGCCCACACTCACGCCCACTCTCGCGCCCACGGCGCACGGACAGCCCTGTGCAGCCGTGGTGCCCCACGTGACCTTGCCCTGCGCGCCACCAGCCCTCGCCCTGGGGGGCGGGGAAGGGAACTTGGCCCCTCCCTGTTATTTCCTTACAACTTCCTGTGAGTCTACAATGATTTCAAAATCTGATTTTGCGGCTCCCTTTTCTATGCTCTTCTCTAAAAGCACCAGGAGAAGCTAAGAGGCCAGGGGGTGAGACAGGGCTTGGTCTTCCCATCAGGGCCCCGTCCCCCAGCCCACGCCAAGTGCCACCAGTCACCCAGAGTGATGGCTGCCCCTCGAGCCCCCCTACTGGGCCACAGACTGGCCTCCCAGGAAGATGGGTCAGGGCCACCTGGCTGGGCGCCCAGAGAGCCAGCTCCTGCCCAGAAACCCCAGCCGGCGTGCAACAGCCTGGTTGCAGGACCAGCCCCAGGCCACATGTGGGGCGCATGGGGTGAACTCACAGGAGCCGACTGCCCGTGAGCCAGACTGCTGGGGCAGGTCAGCAGATCGGTAGCAACGTGGGTCCCGGGGGCTTGGCCAGGGGGCAGCCTCTGCCCAGCCTCACGCAGACACTCAGCAAGTCCCCACCGTGCCCGCGCACCACGCTGACTGCCGCCCATGCCTCTGGAGCAGCCTCTCCGGCAGAGGAGGATCCGACGTTAGAAGGTGCCAGACTTGGCAGCTCTCTAGAGAAGGCCCGGCGCTGCGGCGTCAGACCGGCCCGGGGGCCGCCCGCGGGCTCCGAGCCCCCACTCTGTGCCTGGGCCGCACTGCCAGCCCGTGGCTCCGGAGACCTCACTGCGGCCACACAGAGCCGCTGACGCCCTCTTCTGGTGTAGGCGCGCCGCACGCGGGAGCACAGTGAGGACACGTCTGTGCACACACGTGCATGCACACTCGCCCAGGGACGACGCACTCGCCTTGCGCTCCCATGGCTGAGACCAGGGGCGGCAGCTACCAGGTAGCCCTACCTTGGAGCAAACCCGTGAGGATGCGAGAGAAGGTCATGAAGACCAGGTGGGCGCTGCCAAGCCGGGCGAGCAGCGGGGTGGCGGCCGTGATGACCCCCCAGGCAGAGGCAGACAGCAGGATGACCTTCTCACCACCGATCCTGGAGGACGACAGGAGGACGGTGACGGGAGCTGTGCAGCCGGGCGGGCAGGCGGGCCGGGAAGATCCTGCCCGGGGGAACCAGGGCCCAAGCCTGCTCAGAGCGGCCCCGGGCTGGGCACGGCTGCCTTGTCCTCCTCTGCCGAGGCGGTGGGCGGTAGGAGCACAGCTGAGCCTGTCCGTCTGTCCCAACAAGCACCCCACTGGGCTGCCGGGGGCTCCTCAGGGTGCTGGGCACCTACCCCCCTCCGACCGCCACCCCCATGGAGCTCGGCTCTCCCAGGTGATGTCCTGTCTGGGGGGGCCCTTCCCCACACCTTGCAGGAGCCGCCTCCCCCTGCATGGGGGGCAGTGCTGCTCACCGGTCCCCCAGGTGGCCGCCCACCACCTGCGTCAGGCAGTAGCCCCAGAAGAAGCTGCTGAGCACGATGCCGGCCTCCTTCTTGTTCCAGCCGAAGTCCTGGCTCATGGAGACGGCGCACACGGGCATGCTGACGCGGGCAGAGTACAGCAGGCAGGTGCCCAGCAGCAGTGTCCCTGTCCACACCTGGCATTCGGGCCTGCAGGACAGAAGGGGCTGCGTCAGGCCCGGAGGGGCAGCATGGCCGCCTTCAAACACCTCGTCCCCCTGTCCGTGGCTCGGAGAGCACGGGCCGACACTGGAAACAAATCGCTCGCGGCAGCATAGGCTGGGAACAGCCGGATGGCCGGCAGAAAGGCAGGTAAGACAAACCACACCCGGAGGATTGTACCCCAGGACTGGCCGTCAGGATCCAAGCACCCAGCTCCCATGCAGCTGACAGCTCAGCAACCCGCCCAGGGGGCCCTGGGGCTGAGACCGAGGGAGGGCCTCCCACAGAGTGGGAGCAGGACGGTGGGTCCCCAGAGGGTCCCCAGGAAAGTGGTGTCTGCCCAGCAGAGGACATCGGGCAGGCGGTGCTGGGCGGCCAGCAGGGGGACACAGCGCTGTCGGGGTGGTTGGCTCTTGGAGAACCTGGGCAGGGGGGAAGCACTGCTGGCTGCCGGGGGAAGTGGCCAGGCAGGTGTGCATAGAGGGACGGTCCTCGAAACTCCTGGCCCGTGCTCTGTGATTGTCCCTGAGACCAGGGAAGTCAGAAACTGCCCCAGCCAGGAGGACATGACAACCCCATGCATGTGGGACCCTAGTGGGGTCCTGGAGCATCACAACAAACAGCAGCAATCTCAACAAATGATGGGCTTTGGCTCCTAGTGCCGTGTGGACATTCGCTGACGGGACGAAGGCAGGACACGGACAAATGTGGCGGGAGGTACGTGGGCACAGGGGACCCCAGGTCCTTCAGAGTGACTCTGGAAATCAAGAACTGTCCTCAGAGACGAAGCTGACTTTTCAACAAGAGAGGGAGGAGCTGTGGGCGACACTCAAGCAGGTGGGAGATGGGCGGGGGCAGGATGGGCGGGGCTTGCAGAGTCTGGGGTGGTGGGCATGGCACCGAGGGGCGGGTGCTGAGGACAGCGGAGAGGCCTGGAAGCAAACCGGCAGGGAGCTCAGGGGTCCCGCCCGCACCAGACGTCCCCAGTGAGGCACAGGGGCAGGCGGCTGGCTCCTCCCGGGGGAAGAACGACCTCCAAGGCCTGAGGGCACCTTCTTGCCAATGGGTGGTGCCCACGCCAGGAACCGGGTCACTGGGCCTAATAAGCTGTGCCCGCCACCCCACAGGCAGGCCCCGACCTGGCACAGGGCCCGCCTCGCTGGGGGAACAGCTGACCAGCGGCACGTCGGGCTGCCCCCTCCCAGCAGGGTGGACGGCTGACCGTAGGAGCTGTCCTGGGGACTCATCAGGGGAGTGCGGGTTTGCACCTGCCGTCCGTGGCCCGCTGCCATGCTGGGGCTCTGGTTGGGGCTGTGGACTGGCCTCTTCGAGCCTGTTTCCTCAATGAAGAAGGGCTCATGCCCATGACATCTGCCTCCTTCATGGGTCAGTAAACAGCGGAGTGACCAGCAAGTTCCTGATGTCCCCACAAGGAGTTATTGTCACTGCCCAGGAGGGAGGCAAGGCAACCATGTCCACATCCTCGGGCCGGCAGGTCCACGTGGGTCCACGCCCCCTTGCAAACCACCATGTTCTTTCCCACAGTCAGGGAGGAGGATGCACTCTGCACGACCAGGCCTCCCTGGCTGCCACCCTCCGCAGCCAAGAGCCGCTGCCTCGGACAGACCGCAGTCCCACCAGCAGACACAGTGGATGCGAGGTTGGACAGCACCTCTCAGGGGTTTCGGGGTCCCAACAGCCCAGCCTGCTGTCCCCCAGCAGACCCATAACTGCAGGCCGGGCCCCGTGTGGGCTGGTTTGGGAACTCCGGGTCCAGCGTGCCAGCCAGCCCTCGATGGGCTGTGTGCAGTAGAGAACTCTGCAGGCGGAGAGGCTGGGGCGCCGCCTGGGCCTGTCCCTGGGCTGCCATCCCTCCACGTGCACGGGGAAGAGGTGGGACCAAGATTTCCGAGGGGTGCCCTGGGTGGGACTCGTGGGCACCCCTCCGCTGCTCTCTGCACTTACACAGCAGTCCAGTGGGAAATAGGGTCCCCTGCTAAAAATATACCCAGTTCTGCAATTCCAGAAGCCGGACACCAGACCCTGCTTTGTCTGAGGCTGGGGGAGGGCGCTCCTCTCGGAAACTGCCCAGGGACCCCTCGTCGTCATGCTCCACCCCCAAATGTTCCTGGAATGATTCAGAAGCCCGGACAGTGGGGCAGACCTGACAGGTGTCAGCGGCCTCCCCTGCTGGAGATGCCAGCATGGAGGGGCGGCCCGCAGGGCAGCTCACCGGCTCTCCCTCTGGGCTAGTCTTCCTGCCAGAACTGAAGACCAGGAAGTGGTGGCAGGGCAGGGGGCAGGGGGGGGGGCATCCGTACTTGCTCAGTGCCCATCGGACACAGACGCGGGACCCCTAGGTGTTGAGACCACTGTGGTCTCAGGCACCCACTGCTCAGGCACCCATCTCCTCTGGGGTTCCAAACCTGAAGATGACACCCCCAACGTCTCCCTGGTGCCCATCCCTGGGCCTTGGCCGAACCTGGCCTGTGAGCACCTCACCCCAGGTGTCCATCCCAGGTGTTCATCCCAAGGGCAGCAGGCCTGTCGGGGACACTGCTCCTTCTGAGTAGACGTCCTGCTGGCCTTCCAGGGAGGCACAGAGCAACAGTCCAGACGGCCCGTCCGAGTCAGGCCAGCTGCCGGCCTGAGCCCTGTGGCTGCGGCTGGAGCCCCTGGGGGCATACCTGCTCGGCGGCATCACCAGGGCTTCCAGATGCCCTATGGTGGGTGGCCCCCGTGGGCCCGCAGTGTTCCTGCGCCCCCGTGCTCGGGCTCTCTGCAAGCGTCCGTGTGCCTGCCCGAGGAGCTTTATTCCTTTCTGTGGCCAAAGCTGTGGAGGGTCACCTGCATCCAGCATGCCCACCTGGCCCTCGGGTGCCTCTCACTGGTGACCGCGATAGCCTGGGTGGGAAGTCCAGTCAGAAACACTGGAAGGCCGGCTGAGGCCGACCCACTCCAGAAGGTTGGCCGGTACCTAGAATACGGTGCTGCCCCTTGGCCTCCTTATGACCACAGGACGCCAAGGAAGGCCCCTCAGCATGCAGGCAACCAGTCTGCTCTGAGCCTGTGTGGGGCCAGGTGCTGTGTGCCTCCTCCTGGGCCCCGGAGGCCCCCCAGGCCCTGAGCCGGCGGGCAGTGCCAGCTAGGCAGGCCAAGTGACTTCCTCTACAGCGGGTGGGGACACAGAACGAGGAAGTCTGGCTGCAGGTGGGGACCCGACACAGACCGCTGCCCAAGGGCTGGTTAGCACGCCAGGCCCAGACTCCTCCATCCCACGGAGGGCTGCTTGGGAACACAGGCCACGGCAGGATGGGCCAGGAAAGCTTCATCCTGCTCACTTGCACTGGTCCTGAGCCTCAGGTCTGTGCCCCCAGCTCATCAGAATGTTTCCTGTGAACCTTCTAGAACCCTCTGCTTCCTGCCAACGGCCCTGTGCATGGGAAGCATCCATGGCTGAGCAAATGTGTGGTCACGTGTCCCTCCATTCAGAAAAGGGAAATGTGCCGGCGCTGCAGGCCAGGAGAGAACACACAGGTCCAAGGCCACTGGCTGCCCCCACCCCAGGGTTGCGGCTGAGGAGTGGCGGCCCTGCCTCCCGGGACCACGAGAGCAGACGTGTGGTTGTTGACACAGAGGGCACGCCGCATTGGCTACAATAAACCACCACGCTCACTGTGACTGATATGACTGTCCACGCAGGGGTGGGGTCAGCCTCGTCCCAGCTGAGCCCAGCTCCACCCAGGACCCCACAGACCTCTGGAGCTGGGGCGACCTCGCCTGCCAAGGGCCTGGGGAGCTGCAGGTGCTCCTTCCTGAGCCAAGCACAGAGGGAAGAAGTTAAGGCAGGGCCAGCCAGAGCCATTGAAACAGAACCTGAGAGGGAAGTTTGCAGAACATTCTATAGCCCTGGGCCACAACCCTCTGCCCACATGGTCGTGGAGCCTGGCCTGCCACCTGGATCAGCACCTCAATAATCGGGACGGCGGGGAGGGAAGACGAGAGCAAGGCAGGCCGCAGGGCACTCTGGACCCGGCCGTAACCCAGAGCACAGAGTCCTGTCCCAGTGTTTGCCTGGCAGGGAGACACCCCACTCTCCACACCCTGTCCTACAGGAAACTTCCAGCTTCCGAGGGCTACTTTGAAATGCCAGCCTCTCTCCATCTTTCCCACTAGCTTTGCCCTCATCTTGCCCCAGCCTTGGCGGGGGGGGGGGGGCAGGGCGGGGGGGGAGCTGCCTTTTAGGGGTTTCCTGCAAGCCTGTCCCTGGATGCAGGGGCAGGAATCAGCCGTCACCTACAGGGAGTGGGCTCCCCAGGCTTTCGGAGCTGGTGGACTGGCCTTGGGATCCCAGGGCCCAACTTTGGACCCAGGGTCCAGATGGCTTGGCTGAGGGTAAGCAAGGGCTGAGGCACGGTGGTCTGGGGACTCCTCAGACAGTCCCACCTCGTTCTTGGTTGCTGCGTGTCCCTGCCCTGGGGACTTCTGCATGTGGCAGTGGACGTGGACACAGAGTATAAAAAGGAGTGGGCGATCTGCCTAGGCCCCGCCCACAGAGACCTGTCCACACACACAGCTGGCAGGTGGGGGCAGGACTCAGCAACCCCCTACCTCCGACGGGCTCCCTGTCAGGTGAGTGACCCTGTAGGCTCCTCCTTGCCTTCAGGCCTGGAAATTCGTGTGGTCCTACCTGGCAGGGGTCAGTTCTAGGACTCACAGCTGTGCCTATGAGCTACCTCTCTGCCACCCGGGATGCTGCCCCCCACCCCCAGGCAGACCTCCTGGGATACCTCCTGCCTGCACAACCCCAGGACCCTGGAGGGCCTGGAGAGGGCTCAAGGGGCACTCTGGGCCCTGGGACTGGATGGAAGGGAGGAGGGTCCTGGGTTGGGTCTGGGTACTGGTATGCTGACTGCTAGGGAAGTGCGCAACCCCAGGTGGAGGGATGGTGGCCTCGCCCCCTCCCCAAGCCACCACCCCGCCCCACACCTTGGCCCCACCTGGACCACTGGGAGTCCTCGGCCCTGTCCCTGTGGGCTTCTTCCGGCGGCGGCGGCAGCGGCTGCATGGGGGGCGCAGAGCGTCCAGGTCCGGCTCCTGCCTAGCCGACCCACACAGGCAGCACCGCCCAAGGCCACGTGTCAGTCCCAGCGGCGCTTCCGTCTGGCGCTCCTAGGACGAGTCGCCCCCGGACGGCCACCGCGGAGGGCGGGCGGGTAGGGCGGGGCACACCACTCGGTTCCCGCCCCCCCCCCCCCCCCCCCGCGCTCTGCGGGCGGCTGTCAGGGTCCACCTCCCCGCTGCTCCTGGGGCCGCCTGGGGCCACTGTCATAGGCGGGGAGGAAGCAGGGTTACCTGCCGCAGGCTGGACAGACCCGGCTGTGGAGGGGCTGTGGAGGGGCTGGAGCCAGGTGGTCCTGGCCCAGGGCATTTGGACTTTGACCTTGGACATGTGCCCAATTGGGGGATGGTGGTGGCTTCCCCCTCCCCCCCACTGCCCTGATCACAGGGCTGTGAGCACTGGGAACAGTGAGAGTGCAAGGACAGGAAGAGTCAAGGGTAACCAATTTTTAAGATGGATCTTTGGAGGTGGGCTCCAGCCCTGTCACCCTGAGCCAGCCTGCACTGGGCGGCCGAGTGGGCAGCGTCCACGCAGCAGGTGGCTGCGGAAGGGGTGGGAGCTCCCCACAAAGGTGTCCGGAGCATGCAGGCTCTGCCAGGCCCCAAGCCAGGCCCCCTCGCTCGTGGGGGGGCTTCACGTGTCCACATGAAGGACACAGCCAGCACGGAAAGCGGTGTGCGTGCTGGGACCCGATGATAAGGAGTGGACTCCTGGGCGCACTGCACTTCCCCGCGCCCCTCCCCCGGCCTCAGTCCCCCAACCTCGCAGCAGCCTGGCCAACCTTCCCAAGGCTTCTCGCTGCCCTTAGAACCAAACCTGTCATATCCCCGCAGCACAGGGCCCGCCCCCCCGTCCCCACCCTCCAGCCAGAGGGCCGATTCCCACCTTCCCCAGCCTGCAGAGCCAGCCCCTCGAGGATGGAGCCGACCTGCCGGTTCTCCCCTGTGCCCCCTCCCCCATGTGCACAGGAACGAAGGGAGGGACCAATCCCTCTTTTGAACAGAATTAATAACTCAATGGTAGAGGAGCAACGAACTGTGTAGGATTTCACTGGAAACCAGAAAGATGAACTTTATGATAATAAATGATTTAATGTAATATAGGTTCTACATGTGGAATTCCTGAAGGTTCTGGAACAGTTCTTTTCAAAGTGCTGGTGAGTTCACTATTTGAGTCTTGAAAACACTGCTGTTCAACATCTGTTTCACACTAAAATTACGCCTGGACGCCCAGAGATTAAGGACTTGCTGGGGCCCATGAGTCTGGAGCCACACGAGGACCAGCTCTGCCCCCTCCCCCTGGGTCTGTGTGCTTCTGCTGCCCCACCCCACCCCACCCCCCGGGGCCCCTGCCGCCCAGCCAGGAGTTCTCGATGGTCCTCAGGCTTGCTCCACTTTCAAAAGCCAGTTGGGAGAATGCCAGCTGTGTGACACCTCGGTCTGCGGCGGAGGAGACCCAGCCTGCAGGAGTCTGTGGCCGCACGGCAGGGGGAGAAGTCCCGGGCAGGCAGTGCTCCGACACCTGAGTCCAGCAGTCCCTGTAGCCTTGCCTCCTCGTCCCTGGCTCCAGTGGGAGGCAGAGTCCCACGGCACACAGCGTAGTGCGCCCACCTGCCTGTGCCACGTCCACAGCCGGGCAGGGGGCCTGCAGTGTGACCTGCTTCAGCGTGCAGCCAGGTGGGAAGGTACGTGCAGATAAATCCACTGCCCCCACCTCTCACTCCTTCTGCCAATGATTTTGGTTGGAGCTGAGTATAGAGGAGTCAGACAGACGTTCTTCTGCGCCACGGTCAGAACAGACCCATCCACCTGGCCTTCCAGCTGGGAGACTTCCCTAAGTGCAGAGGAATCTCAGCCCTACCACATGCTCCCTGCAACGAGAAAGACCTCTGCCCCGCAGGTGCAGCGATAGGATGACCAGCTCACCCAGACCATCCCCCCAGCCCCCAAGGACCTCAGGTCGCTGGAGCCGGGGCCTGGTGTCCTGCAGAGGCAGAGCAGCTCAGCCACAGACACCAAAGGCCCATCAAACCCTGTCTTCACATCCACGGAAGTCAGTCACGATGAGGACGGGAAAAGCGCCTCGATGGCATCTTGGAATTAAGGCACAACATCCAAGACAGGCAGGCCTCACGCACCAGGGACTGTGGTCCCAGCCAAACACCTCAGATGGTGTTGAGTGCAAAGCCACAGGCCAAGTGCTCTGCGTGGGGACATCCCCACGAACTGCCACACTGCCTCCTGCAAAGAGGGATGCGCTGGCGTGAAGAAGGGCTTAGACGCCGTCGCCGCCTGGGGAAGAGTGCCGGGGGGCTTCCTCCCCCTCTCCAGTGTCCACAAACCCGTGGGGGCTACAGCCCATGATGCCGCGGCTCCAGCACGAGGCACCCTCACTTCTGCACTCACTAGAAGGCACTGGGAAGCTGTCACTCCAAGTCTCCGTCACGTGTCCCACAACTGCCCTTCACACGAGCCGCTAACAGCCCCGGCTGGCCGGGGCACAAGCCCTACAGGGAGAAGGGCCCGGCGCGCACCGCGGCAGCCCCTCTACTTTCAAAGTCTGGACATATTCATGAGTATTAAAAAAAAATAACTTTTCAGGTTAAAATCATGCAGCAGGTGACCCCAATCTATTTCCTTCACCAAACTGAAAGTTCAGGACCACAGCTCTAGAGAACAGACGACAGATCTCAGAGGTGCACACGGGACCCCGGACGGCGCCGCTCAGAGGGAACAGAACGGCAGCAGAGCATAAAGATGCGTGAGACTAAGTTTCCTTCCGCCGGTTCTCACAGATGGGCTTCCAACGGAACATGTATCGTATTGAATTCTTTATTCTTATTAGAATATCTTTACGGGGAAAAGTACAAAAGACCTTCCAGATAACCCCTCTGAGAAAAACATAGAAGTTGTACTATGAAATTAAGAACAGGCAGCAAAAGCAACCTACTCTGCATTTTTCAGAAGACGCTGTGGCGGGCACACACCCTCAGGAACAAAGCGGACTCGGAACCAGGGGTGCAGAGGCTCATACGAAAGTCACATGACCAATGCGGACACTACAATTTACTCTTAAACCCGAAAAAGCAACACATTTCTGAAACAGAAACATGCCCGCTGTGAAAATGAAGCACGTGGTGTCAGAATAACCTATCAAAATGCTGCACCACAGGGCTTCTGAGGCCGCGCAGCCTGGCCCCCACGTCCTACTGTGCACGGCTCAGCGCCTCCGGCGGCTGGCAGGCAAGCCCGCCTGATGGTTTCGGTCTGGCCTTCTGCTCCTGCTGGGACTCCACGGTAACGCCCAGAAGCGGGTCCTGCCCCATTACCCCAAAGACACCATTGCCTTTAGCACAAAATGTACAGTTCTTTCTGAAACCCCCGGCTCCTCCCCTCCCCCAAAGTAACACTGTCCAAGGAAACAGACCTCACCCTGCCTGACAAAGACTGCCCTCGGGAGAGGCATCCTGACTGCAGGGAAGAGCCACCTCCTTGACCCCGAGGACTCACACATGGGGTCTTCAGTCCATCCCAAAGACCAGTCCCAAAACACATCTGCCTTTTCTAGAGCCTGGGAACCTTAATTCACATGGCAAAATATATTAGCTCTTGTTGGATTTGCAATAATCCCTATGCCGCGTAAAGATTCCAAACTAGGGGTTATTCCTCACACAACTTCATGGTATCAGGAACACAGAGTACCAGAATATTCTCAAATTTTATTTATTTCAAGGCACTTTCCACAAGAAAACGTAAAAAGAATAAACTATGTAAAACATTACATTTTAATAAACACAACGGCAAGATCCAAAGGAAACGAAGAAAAATCAAATTATACTTCAAAATGGCTTAATTTCGTTTGCCGGCTGAAGACACAGAGACTGCAAAAAGGTGGCAAACAGGGAAGTCCACAAAGCCACTCCTGCTGAAGAGGTCCCCAGACAGGGACAGCGCAGGAGGCGCGAACCCGAACCCGGGCCGCAGACAGAGGCGAGGACAACAGGAGCACAGCGGAGGGTCCCCATCACACCACACGTGGCCACCACTGGCGGCAGCACCCGCCCGTGACGTCCCTCACGGCCCCAACAGGTGGGCGCGCACCAGCACTCTGTCCTACAGCCGCTCACTCACATTTCCTGCGCGTGACAAACCCCGTCCGGGCCCTGACGGCTCATGGGTGGCTCCGCGTACAGGACTTCCCGTCACTACGCATCTCACACCCTCTAATGTGAAAAACGTGTCAGGGTGATTATATATTAATTATGCACGTAAATGATCTTATATACACGACTAATAAAAGCTGACTAGAAACATGCTGAATTCTCTGGTGCTTTTCAAACACGTAGGTTTACCCACACCTCTCTGCTGGTATTTCTCTTCCAGCTTCTGCTGTGTGTGACGATTAATTACCTGAAGATTAAAACCTTCTGCTCTTAATACCCTCAAGCCTCAGAGGAAATGGCCCCAAAGAAAGGTCACATTTGGAGAGGACTGCTGAGCTGGTCAGAGCGGAAACACGTCCGCTCCTGGGCGTTGAGAAGACCCCCCCCCCCCCTCATCCTCACAAAACCACAAGGGCAGCAGAAGGGCAGTCAGAGGCCAGGACAGCCCCCAGAGCCTGCATCACCCTGCCTCTGCATCGGTGACCACCCAGGGCAGCCGACCCTGCCGGAGGTTCCTGCCCACTGGAGAAAACCACTACTCCCAGAGTGCAGGTGGAAAGCAGACGGGGAGTGAGAGAAGAGCTGACATGACAGCCCTTCACGATGCTGCCCAGGTCTGCAGGCAGATGGGGGACGGGGCCCAGCAAGCAGACGCCCACCACCTGACCTACAGGCACGGCCACAAGCCTGCCCGACCTTGCCTGACGCGGGAACACGCTCGCTGCGACTCGGCTGCCATTGGCATCTACCTCCACGAAGCCCCAGGTGCCAGACCCCGTCCCGGCACCAGGATCCACCCAGGGAGGACAGAGTCCCAGCCACCGCAGCAGCTGGGAGCTCCTACCAGAGGACGTGCGCTCCCGGGCACCGTCACCACCACGAGACTTGGCTCTGTAACCGCCGCCCTACGGAACCTGAGCCCAGCGGCCCCTGCCGTGCGTCCACACATACGTGTTCGCACTCCAAGTCACAGGGGCACCTGCGTCCCAGCGCCTGCACAGTGGCAGGACTTGAGAAAGTGCCGAATGAGGACGCCTGGGAACTCACAACCAGCACGAGACAGCGGGCACACGCCGACCTGTGGTGCCAGCCTCCTGAGGCAAGCACGCGCTCCCAGCTAGGGAACCTGCGGCCCAGGGACAGCCGGCAGCACGGCGCTCCCTCCCCCGCCGCGTCTGCTCCCAAGCACGCGGGCCACACCAGGCCGAGGGGCCCTCTGGCCGCAGGGATGAGCTGATGCAATGCCACCACCACCAGGACATAAGCCCCGAAAGCAACAGGTTTGTCTGAGATGATTAAAACTTTTTAGAGGCCATTTTGGTCATTCTTGAGATCAAAGAGAAACCTTTATTTTCAACAAAACTGCCTAGAAGAGAAGGTTCACTGATCCACTAGGAAAGAGTCTCTCACCACAACCAGCACCAAAATATATATTTAAAAAATTAAAAAACACACAGCCCCATCCCTCACGCACACTTCTCCCCAAAAGCCACACAACCCAGACCAAAAGGGAAAACAAATCAAACTCAATGCCCTCACACAAAAGAAATCTTTCAATTAGGATTTACAAATTTATATAGTCTTTCCTATGAAAAAACAAAAACAAAAAACCAAGGGGTAAGAAAAAACTTCTGCACAAAGGCCTGACGAGTCTTAGGAGATCTGAGAAAACGTATGTTCTGCCTACGAGCTAACAGAAAGCAAAATAACGATCAGTGCTTTTTGTAGATTTGAGTGGGAGGCCTCAGTTTAACAATATTCCCTCATAACCGAGCACTCCGTGGTGGCTGCGATCCTGCAGGAGCCCCACAGCAGGAGCGCGGCCCATCCACGCCTTCAGGGCACGCCCCGAGCAGAGTCTGCATCACACTTCCAAAGAGACAGGTCATTCACTGCAAGTTTTCCAGCGCTCAAAAGGGCCATTTTTCCCTTTAAAAAAGATGCCAGGTCAAAAAAAAAAGGTGGGAGGGGGGAGAGTTCTCTACTGCAGTAAAAATCTCTCAGTCCCAGACAGCTGCTCCGAGGAGTCCAAGCCGGGGAAGCACGGGGCCACGGGCACAGACTCTACTTGGGCTCCTCGATCACACCTTTGCTGAGGTCTGTCATTTTGGGATATTTTACTTTCTTCTGGTCCAGCTCATTCTGAGCCCAAAGGAGGAGTTTCAGTAATTTTGCCAGCTTGGGTGTTGACTCACGATTTTCATAATCTAGTACAGCTTGGTTAACCTCACTCCACACCTAGAAAATAAATACATCCAATAAAAACCACCACACATGCAAAGCACCAGCGAGAGTCTGTTATCACGTGCTTTTTATACCTCTTGGAAGCCATTTTTACATGATGAACTCATCATTTACTTAAACGAACATGAAGCCCGTCACCAGGAGGCACACCAGCAGATGTTAAACACACGTTCCTCGCCCAGAAGGAGCGCATGGTCCAGTCAGCAACGATCCCATCTGGCCTGGAGAGCCGTAAAATGCCACAAGCCAGGCTCGGGGTGGTGGGGGGAGGGTGGGGTACTGGACGGGAAGAGAGAGAAGACCGGGGCGGGAGTGACCCGTGTTCCACCGGACCCAGCCTCGAGGGACACCTGCAGCAGGCCTGCAGAGTGGCAGCCCCCGGCAGGAAAGGGCGCTGCCTCTGGGGGAGTCACGGGCCGTCTCGGGGACTGCAGCACTCAAGTACCAGCAAGGACGTGAAGAGGTTCACACGCAAACAAGGGATTTAAAATAAAAATGTTTAGGACACCTATTTCCAAGAGTCTCCAAACAAAGAGAAATATTAAGATACAGAAGAAGCTGACAAAGAGGTCTGAAAATCGTAAAATAAGTCACAACGCTCCGTTCCTGGCTTCACACAGTGAAAGATCCCACGTCAGGGAAGAATAGATGCTGTTGTGACCGAGCGTCACTCGCCCAGACATGGTCACACTGTGGTTCCTGAGCCCCACCCTGTCCGGGGAAGGAGGACCCCCTCGGTGGTCTTACCTTCTGCCTCTGCATCATATGAAGCAGGTCTCCAAAAGGCGACTCCTCAGGGTTATCAAAGGCCAGCAGGGCCAGAGTGCGCTCCATCTCCGTCAGGCACTCCCTGCTCTCCTCGCCTTGCTCCGCCAGCTGGGTCTGCGCGAACTCCAGCGCCGCCTCGGTCTCACGCTGGCGGATCAGCTCTATGAGGTGCTGTTGCTGGTCACCGGCAAAGGCAGACAGGCTCACACACCCACGCCTGGGCACGCAACACTACTTTCTAGTCAAAGGACAGCTTAAAGAACAACTTCCTAGCATCCCTGAATTATTAAAATAGCATTTTTTAAAACTTTGAGAGACAGAAAACACACAAGTGGGGGGGGGGGCAGCAGAGGGAGAGGAAGAGAGAAGCAAGCAGAGCCCAACCTCACAACCCTGAGATCATGACCTGAGCCGAAATCAAGGTCGGCTGCCTAAGCAACTGAGCCACCCAGGTGCCCCTAAATTAGCATTTTTAAAGCAAGAACAGCTTCTGAAATACTAAAGACAACAGCTAAATGAAAGCCGTTCCCCATGCAAACTAAAACGATACTCTATTAATGCAAGTTAGCCTTGTGATTTCTGAATCACCACATGTAACCTTATGGAGTATCCACAAACCAGATGCCTCTCAATGGAAACTCACTTGCAGATGGAAGTAAAGGTACCGGTTTGTGTCCAGGAGCTCTGGATGGAGACTGTTGATCAATGCGATAGCCTCCTGGATCTGGCCTTTCAGGATCATCTCACGGATTTTGATCCGCTCGTCCAGTGTTTCTAGATCCACGCTAGGTTCAATCCCAGATTCCATTCGAAACTTCTCTGCTGCTTCCTTAAAGCCCTCTGTAAATGACAACCATCTTCAGTGCTCGGAAATCGAGCCAGATGTTAATGCAAAGCATTTTTATCCCTAGAAAGCCCATTCACCTCAAATAAATAACCTTCAACGTGACCCGCACTTTCTTAGGGATTTGGTATTAACATCTGTGACTTACTACTACGCCCATACAGAAAATGGAAAGAATGTACTTCACTCCTTCCCATCCCATCCAAAAACGCTCTCATCACCTACCAGCCAGGGGTGAAAATGCCACGAAGCCCAGCGCGTTATGGGCTCCTTAAAGAGGGCTGCGGCGCCAGGCCCAGATGCAAGGAAGCTGCAGGTGTGCTTCACGGCCTGCAGGGACCTGGCCACTCCTGCCTCTTCGTGAGCCCACAGTTCTCCTCAACATCCAAGCTGCGTGTGTGCGTCCCCGCCCCCCACCCCCCACCCCAGCTATGGGCAGACACTTTCTCATCGCCTTCAAAGGTTGACTAATTTGGTGAAGGGGAGTACTGTGAACAATGGGAAGGAGACTCATACCTGTTTGAAACAGCTGGATTTTCTGATCACGTACAGAATTACCCTTTTCCTTCCCGATATCAGGAAGGACTGTCAGTTACAGACCCCGTTTGTTTGCTTCTGTATGCTTCTGCCCTTCCCCCTTTCTCTTTTGCGTTAGGTGCACCTTCTACAAACAGTCCTGTATAATTTACCAGACTGGCCAGAAGAGATCAGTTACTCGGGACTTTCAACGTACTTTAGAACATTCTTAATTATCTTGATTAACTGTAAAAACGTCAAAGATCAAGGGACAGGTTTTTGCCTTAAAAAGGCTCAGACACCTGTAATACCAATCTCATCTCCAGAAGACCTTATCTTTACTCTGGTAATCCACAAAGTTATTAAATTAGCATGGTGTTTTCTACAATGCCCAAACACAACTTCACTCTCCCAAGGAACTTCGATGGCAAAGTGCTGATTGTGTGTACAAAAAGGCAGAGTTGCGTCCCACAGGCAGCATCCTCATTGAGCCCTTACCTGTGACCAGGTAGTTCATAATGAGGCGGTTCATGTCCGCCCGCTGGACATGCAAGTTATTGAGTTTCTCCATCCACTCATCTTTCGTGATTTCATCAGGTTTTTCTGCATAACTCATTCTGACTTATTTCTACAAGAAAAAAATATTTTAAAGATTAATGAACATCACAGGAATGAAAGGTATGGGATAGGAAATACATTCAGTGGCACTGCAAGAGGGCTGGATGGTGACAGAGGGCGGCTACACCTGTGAGCACAGCACAAGCCAGACAGCTGTCAAATCCCAACATTATACGCGAGAAACTAACCTAATACTGGGTCTCAACTACACTTCAGTTAAAAAAAAGAAAGAATTTTTAAGAATTCTATGACAACTGTGATTGTTTCAGAGATAAACACAGTGACACGGTATGAAGTAACAGAGAATGGGAAGATTTAAATCTGGAGAACAGCAAGTGCAAAGGACCTGACACCCAAAGGCGGCTTAGGGACCAGAAAGGCGGCTGGGATGTTAGGAGACAGGATGTGTGCAAGGAAGAGCCGAGAGCCTCCGAACTGCCAGGTCAAGAGGTGGGGCGTATCATACAGGCTGAGGGAGGATTTTAGGTCAATTCTCTTCTAGGCACAAAGGGCAGCTGCGAGGGGCAGGAGCTGAGGAAGCGTGCACTCTGACACAGTGCCCGTGAGAAGGCCGCCGCCAGACACTCACCAGACCGACCAACACTAAGGAGTCTGACGACACCGAGTGTCGACACAGCCAGAGCGTTCCCTTGCGTTCTCTGACATTGCTGTCAGAGCAGACTGGAACTGCAAACATATCCACGCAGCTGGCACATGCTGCTTGCAGCCCAGCAACCCCACGAGACAGACCCTCACCACTCACCACTCACCACTGAGCACCAGACACGCATGGGCCCACTCACAAGAGACACTGCTCAAAATGGCAAAAACGTGGGAGCCCCCCACCCAGATGTTCATTCAAGAGCAGCACGGACAGACTGTGGTTCACAGAACCACAGTCCCAGGCCCAAAACCCTTGGGCAGGTAATTTTGCAGGCTGTATAAAGCCTATATGGCACAACTTACCTACATCACACGACATCCTCCCTGCAGTCTGGGGCAGCACCCCACGTTAAATATTACTTCTTTGGGGGAAAGTCTGAGTACCCGCACTGACTGAAATAGAAGTCATCAAAAGCTTTCACCAAGTCAGATTTTTCCATCAAATAGTTAAAACACACACACACACACACATAAACTTTTGGTTTTCAGAGCTATTTGGACTTCAGAATTGCTGAGAAAGGATTCTGATCATGTAGTCACATAAGAGAATTTACTAAAACAGTTAAAATATGAGCACAGCCACACAGATGACTCTTACAAACCAGCTGGATGGAGTGAGTTGCAGCAGAGGCCCAAGTGTGGCAGAATTTTGTAAAGAACAAAAACAGTAGTAAACACGAACGTGCAGTGTTTTGTTGTTTTAAGACCTGATCCTCAGGAGGTGGTTACCATGGCAAGGCAGGGCGGACAGGCCCCGGGAGCACCAGCTGGGCTCTTACAACGGGTGGTGAGCCCACCACTACCTACTACCTACTACTTCCGATTCTTCCTAAGTGACCTGTAGGTTGGGGATACTACTTCATGCCAGCAAAGTGCATGCTAAATGGCTTCGCTAAATTAAAAACTTCAACAGTGGAAGTGGGCTGAGCAGGAAAGCCAGCGAACAAGAGCAGTGCCAAGAAAGTCAGAGACACAGCAGGCGAAGGTTCTGTGGACGCCAGTCGGTGGCTTTGCTGCTAGACTGAAGGTCGAGGGATTTAAAAAAAAAAAAAATAAATAATAATCAGGAGCCCTTGAGGCCGGCTGAAGCTTTCACGCTTGATACCTTGGAGGAGAGGGCCACAGAGAAAGAGGAAGGCCCCAACAGGTTTGAGGAGTAGGGCAAGTTCGGGCTGACTCTCGGACACGCAGCTGGAGAAGTCAAGCAGGCCCCTGGATTATAGGCCCCCGGCTCAGCGCTAGAAACGTTCATTAGGGAGACACCCGCCAGACAAGGCTATCGAAGGCCAGGAGTTGGGCAAAGGTCGCCCAGGAAGACCGCGTGGGAAGGAAAGCAAGGGCACACGACAAAGCCCTCGCGTGCTCGGAGGGAGCCGACACCTCGCAGCAAGGGAGGAAGGCAGCGGGCGAGACGGACCGAAGGTTTCTCCCCCACGAGGGCCCGTGTCCCGTAGCTGCCGGCGGTGCGACCTCACCCAGACCACACTCCCGCTCCCAGACAGCCCAAGGTCGCCAGGGCGGACAAGGCGCCTCTCCCTCGGTGTCCCCGAAGCAACCCACCGCCCCACCAGGCCCACTGCCGGCGACAGCGACTTTGGGAGCACTCGGCGCAGGACGAACTCAGCAGTTAAACACGCCACAAACGTCAGCAAGCCTCCCGAGTCCGAAGACGGCAGCGCGTACGTCCACCGGCTCAGCGCCCGCTCTGACGCGGCCGTCCCCAAAACCGTCCTCCCCACAGGAGCACAGTGCGGTGTCTCACGGAACGGCCGACATTCCGCGGGCGCCAGCCCCGCACGTCCGAGCCTTGCCCTGAAACGCTCTCCCTTCAAGGATAAACACCGGACGACAGCGCCCGGGCGCTGCGCGCTCAGCAGTCCACCCCCGCCGGGGGAAAGGGCGCAGCGGACGCGCGAACCCAGGAGGCCCCGCCGCGCCGCCTGCGCGGGCCTCGGGCCGCGGCCGACCCCCAGCGCCGCCCCTCCCGGGCTCCTCCGGGCCCCCGCCCAGCCCCACCCCGGCCGGCCAGCCGCGCTCCCGCGGGGAAGCTCAGCCCGGCCGCCTGGCCCCGCCGCGGCCATCTTACCGTGCGGATCCCGCCTCCCGCGCTGCGCGCTCTCCGCGGCCGCTCGGGGGGGCCGGGCCGAGCCCGGAGGGCGGCGAGGCGCGGGGGACGGAGGCGGAGGCGGGGGCCGCGGCGGAGGCGGGGGCGGGGGCGGGGAGCGGGAGGGCAGACGCACCGACGGCCGCCCCTTCAGCCACCTCCCGCGAGAGCGCGAGAGCGCAGGCTCGCGCGCCGGCGGCCAATCAAGCGCTCCCCCGAGGGGGCGGGGCGCGGCGGCCGCCCGGAAGCGCGGGACCCCGGCTTCCGCCCTTGCGCAGAAGTCCGCTCGCGGCGCCCTCGCTCTACGGGTTGGCGCGAGAGTCAAAAGGCGTCGGCCGACCCTGGGCAAGATGGCCGCCGTCGGGGTGTCGTTGTGGGGGAACTTCGCGGCGCGACGGCGGCTTCTAGACTGAGCCGGAGGCGAAGGTCCCAGCTCCCCTTCCGTCATTTGTGTGAGCTCGGAGGGCAGGGGCGGGGGCCCGGTGCTGCGCGCCGCCCCGCCGGGCGCCTGCCTTCGCGCGGGCCTGGCGGGAGGCGGCCGAGCGCGCCCCGGCGGGAGCTCTCCGCGCCGTCGGCTGGGCCGGGCTGCGGGGGTCGCCCGCCCGTGGCGGCGTGCTCGGCGCCTGACGAGGCAGCAGAAACGGGCCCGCCCTCGGGGAGCCGGCCGGCCGGCCGCGCCAGGGCGGGCCGGGGCTGCGGGCGGGCGTGCGCGGGGGCAGGAGTGCAGCGGGGCGCCGGCGCGGAGTTCGGGCGCGGGAGCGAGGGAGGCGTCGGGAAGGAAGTCCGACTCGTCCTGAACGAGAAGTCGGGGTTCGGTGGTGCCGTGGGGTTGCTCCCACGTGAGCCGAGGAACGCGAGGGGGCTCGGACTTGCCGCGCGGAGCAGTGCGGTCTGGCGGTCAGGCCTGGCGGCCGTGGCTGCTCGCGGCTCTCCCCGGGCGAGGGCCGAGCCGGCGGCCCGACGTTCCGGCCCAAATCTAAGACGCGTGGGTGCTGCGTGCCCATCGTTCCGCGCCCCGCAACGACTTGACCCTATGTACCTCCCAGCTGTCAGCTCTGCGTGTGCGGAGGAGCGCCGGCGTCTCGCGTCCTTCCGCAGGCACACAAGGAAGAGCTCGAGGGGCGAAGCCCTGCGGAGGTAGACTATTGCGGCCCCAGACAGCTGCGGCCGTGCCGTCTCCGTGGATCGCGGCTGCGCGGCCAGCCGGTGCCCGAGGCGTGCAGAGTCCACGTCCTCCTTTCGGGTGGGCGCGGGCTGCTTTTATTGTCTGCAGCCCGCCCCAGAACAGCGCGCCCACCGTCTCTGCTTCTGCGGCTGCCCCTCCCGGGGAGCCGGGGAGCCACAGCGCGCGGGCGACCTCGCCTTGTGCCTGTGCTCCTCGCACTCCTCGGAGGCTCCCTGATGGCGGCGCGAAGTGAGCACAGCCAGAAAGCCTCCCCACTCCCGCGGCCCTCCCCGGCCTCTCCCGCTGGGCTGCGTCCCCGGGCCAGCTGCTCAGAACGGGGAGGCTTGCCCTAAGCAAAGCCGAGTGGAGCGTCTCTTGCAGCCTCCACGATCCCTTTGGATCTCTTTAGCACGGCATTTTTGTCGCTGAGGCCTGATGCACCGCAAATGTGTGAGCTTCACGAAAGCTGAGACCTCCATTGTGTGGGAGGAGTTCCGCCGATATTTGTTGAGCATGCAGAGGAGCAAATGAGGAGTGATGGTAAGGACCTTAACTGCAGGCAGTTTCAGCAGAAGTGGACGAAGGGAGACCTAAGGAGAGACTATTAGCCGTCCTCGGTGACTGAGCTCATGGACCGGATGGCGCTCAGATGTGTAGCCGGGTTGCCGAGGTTGATGGTGGTGACACCAACCGAGGAAGAGCCGTCCTGACGAGCAGGGGGCTGGCAGGGGAGGAGAGATGGGGAATCGGTGGTGCCTGTGGGGACACGGCAAAAGCTCAAGGGAGTGACGAGGGCTGCAGGTGAAGCTTTGACAGTGACACCATGTGACATTTGATAAACCTATTTAGAGAAAGACCGTAGAGAGGAGGAGAAGTCCAGAATCCAGAAGGACGGCAACAAATGGCTATTATCCAGAGAAGTTGTCTATTAAGTCAGCAAAGAAGCTTGAACGGGGACCAGGGGGCTTAGCAGGCTCTGCGGAAGCCACGGGGTGGGGGGTTTTAGAGGACGCAGATAAGCAGCGTCAAGTGCAGCAGGGCCGCCCCATCGTCTACTTGACAGGTGTTGGTGACAGACAAGGAGCTCAGGGACACGGCAGGAATGGACAATGTTAGAGGGCAGTGAGTTGAGAGGTGAATAGGGTGAGGGGGACACAGATGTGTGTTTAACACTTTGAGAAGCAGTGGATGTAGCGAGCAAGCAGCAGGTGAAGTCGATCCCGTTAGACACTAAAGCAACAGGTTTTGGTGGCTGAGGGGGAGGGAGAATCCAGGCTTCTGGCTGGTGTGTTTGGGTTTACAGGGTGGGACCAGCGCTGAATAGGGACACCAGGGAAGGGCCTGATTGGGGGAGAGGCTCCGAAGTCAAGAGCTCATTTTGCACACGTCAGGTTTTGAGGTGCATTTGAGGCATCAGGTGAGTGGATGGACTCAGATCTGGGCAGAGGTAAAGGGAAGCACAGCCAGGAATGCATGAGCTCCGGAGTGGAGAGTGTACAGAAGGAAGGTAGAGGCCAGCCTGGGCCAGAGCCCTGAACGCCCCATGCCACTGGGAGTCTGGGGGTGTGGGGGAGCACGAAGGACGAGGGCTACTTTGGTCACCGCCTGGGGGCAGTGACCAGGTTGGTAGGAAAGAGGTGGGTCTGTGGAAAGGGAGCTGTGGGGTGGCCAGAGCCTCCACTGTTCTCCAAGCCCTGGTGAAGAGTTTCGTCTTAATAGCAGTGCACAGAGAAGTGTAAAAAGTTTGCTAGTCTTAAAAGAGCGTTAAAGTGTTTTTAAAAGGGGAAAAGTATTTGGGGAATAACACACACAGTGCTCCCTTTACTCAAATCCTCGACTGCTCAATAACCAGGCCATGGGCCGTGTTTTACAGAACAGCAGCATTTCAACAGTTGCTTTTATCTTATTCTCAAACCCAAAAGCATAAAATCAAGCCCCTATGCACTGGAGGCCCCGCTTTCGAAGAGATTTGGCTAAAACAAACGTAATTCTTGAGGATGATGTGTAAACTGATCAGTCATTCCCACATGAGGCGGTCGACACAAAGGCCAACTGCCATAGCTTTAACTTTTCACGGCGTGCTCTGCTTCTTGGTGAAGGTGTTGGGAGAGTCAGGAAGAATTTCATGATTGTTTGGTTCTGCTGCACACATTCAGGTGCCATGTGTCTTAGCTGAATTCTGAGACCCAGGAAAGCAAGTGTTGTTGTTGTTTTTTAAGATTTTATTTATTTATTTGACAGAGAGAGACACAGTGAGAGAGGGAACACAAGCAGGGGGAGTGGGAGAGGGAGAAGGAGGCTCCCCACCAAGCAGGGAGCCTGATGCGGGGCTCCATCCAGGACCCCGCGATCATGACCTGAGCCGAAGGCAGACGCTTAACGACTGAGCCACCCAGGCGCCCCTGAGAAAGCAGGTTTAATGGTGGTGGTTGTTTTTTGTTTTTTTTTTTTAAGATTTTTATTTATTTGACAGAGAGACACAGAGAGCAGGGACACAAGCAGGGGGAGTGAGAGAGGGAGAAGCAGGCTTCCCGCTGAGCAGGGAGCCCGATGCAGGGCTCGATCCCAGGACCCCGCGATCATGACCTGAGCCGAAGGCAGACGCTCAACGACTGAGCTACCCAGGTGCCCCTTTAATGTGGTTTTGATGTGGCCTCTACCCCTCCCTCCTCTCCTGATTGTATTTCTCTTTTGAGACTGTACCATCGAATCAGAAAGCATGGGTCTGGGGCGCCTGGGTGGCTCAGTTGGTTAAGCGACTGCCTTCTGCTCAGGTCATGATCCTGGAGTCCCGGGATCGAGTCCCGCATCGGGCTC